AGGTAACTGTCAGCTGTGGGAATGAGTCACTTGATAGGATTGCACCCTACATTTGAAATCTGACCCCTTGTAGAAAACCAGGAGTTTGGTATTATGTCATGTAATGTTGTCCTTTGTCTCTTGCTCCCTATCTCTCCTTGTTCCAAGAGTTCAAACAAAAGAGGGTCTCCCTCCCTGTAGTGCTTGTCTGTATGCAGAAGCACTGGAAAACAATGAATTTTAGCTTCAGTAGTGCTCAGATGTGCGTGGCTCACATGCATCCCTTTGCATTCCTTTCCCTTCCATGCCAAGCACTGTAATTTGGTAGGTGCTGAAGGCAGACTGTCCTGTCCTGACATGCCATTACAGGAAAAAAGCAACCAACCCCAAGAAACAAAACAACATAAAAACCAAACCAAACCAACCCAATCAACCAACAAAACCCCAAACCCAACTCCCTATCAGAAACACTTGGGTGCTCTTCTAAGAAAAAAAATATTTGCTTATTATATGTGGCCAGAGGGGTCGGGGAATACACCCTGCCTGTTTGTCAGTGTGTAGGCAGCAGAACTCGGAACCTCTTCAGGAGTGCCAGTATATGCCTGCTTTAGTTGACCAGGCTCTCTTCTGCCAGACCCAAGTCCAACTCCTGTGGGAGCAATTCCTCACTGCTGCAGGCTGTGCCAGGGTCAGTGGGCTCCTCCACTCACAGTCTGACAGTGCCTGCCTCTTAAGGGACCAGGCAAAGTCATTGGATCAGATCATTGGTCTGTGCAGGGGCAGGCAGGCTGCACATTCCAGGTCCATGCCTTGACATCCAACATGAAGGTGGGTTTGCCTGTGATTAATGCAGAGGTAGCTTGGACAGCACAGTCATCTGGGCAGCCTCCTGTGAACTTGTCAGTCGCTTCTCAAGCTGTCCAAGCCTCCCCTTTCCACCTCTCAGCAATATCTTCATTAAGAAACCTTTCATATAGTTCCTCCATCGCACAGAGCGGTTGATCCCCAGATCAGTTTCTGTGTGCTTTACATGCCCCAGCAAAAAGTCCAGCAAGAACTGTGGAAATGACATGCCTGTTCATACACCTCCCAGAACACATTCTGACCCTTCTTTGGGTCAGTTTTAGCTCACATGATATTTAAAGGCTGCAGAAACAAGTGCAGCCTGCTTGGCAGTGTCTGACTCCAATAAAAAGGTCTGATCAATAGAGAAGCTTATCCAGGACAGATCAATGTAGCCAAGCGGAACAGCTACTCACCTTCCTGCTGTCATAGTTTTCCTCTGAGATCACCCTGCCTTGTGACTGAAGCTTTCTATTTTGAAGCACATGGGTACAGTTCCCTCTCCAACCATTTCAATCCTGAAACCACAGAGGGCTGTCTCATGCATCACAGGACTCCTTAGGAAGTCTGCCTTTCTTTTCCTTAGCTCATACCACTGGTGGATTAACATTTAAAACTTATGAAAGCCTGTTTCTACCTTCTGCTGTCAGTGAGGGCCCGGTTTTGGTGGCAGTCATAGAATCACGGAATGATTTGAGGTGGACGGGACCTCTGAAAATCATCTAGTTCCAACTCCCTGCCATGGGCAGGGACACCTTCCACCAGACCAGGTTGCTAAAAACCCCATCCAACCTGGCCTTGAAAACTTCCAGGGATGGGGGATAATTGAATAATTTGTTTCAATGTCTCACCACCTTCAACATTAAAAAAAAAAAAAAAAAAAAAAAAAAAATTAAAAAAAAAAAAAATTCCCTATATCCAATGTAAATCTATCCTCTTTCAGTTTAAAACCAGTGCCCCTTGTCCTGTCACTACAGGCTCTAGTGAAAAATCTGTCATCATTAGGAACAGGCTAGGTCTTGATTGCTTGTGCTCTTGTCTACTTTCATTTCCAAAAGGCTTTTCCAGAAGTCAGAAATTTAACTTTTTGGCATAATACTGGATTTATATTCTGTTCAATTCAAATTACCTTGCTACATGCTCTTTGTTATGTTAATGACTCTCAGGGATGCAACTTCCCTGCTCATCTTGGATGCCAGGAAGGTGTTGACTTTTTGTTGTCTGTTACTGTTTTTATCCTGCACAGAAGAGACTCTTTCAGAAAGTTAATTTCTTCACATCCATACCTTAGCAATTCCCAAGCCCCAGAGCATTCCTGGCATTTTTTGAGTGGGGTCTTCCTCTGGTCCTGCATGCTCTGGTGTAAGCTACTACTGCTGGAGGTGACATGCAGTGTGTACATGCTGGCAAGCATTTGACAGGTTGCTGACCAGCAGCTGGAGCTCACTGACATATTACAACACACCTCTCTACTTGTTTCTCTCACACCCTTGGAGATTATGGCAGTCACTTAGAATAGCAAGAATAAGTGGAACTGGGGAACAGAGGATGCATCTCATTTATTTCCATTGCAGTTGGTGCAAGTTCCAACAGAGTGGTAACAGCAATGCCCACCATGAAAGTACAGCCCGCTGTCTTCCTCTGGGTGCTCTGCAGATTCCCTTCACTTCTGCAGAGTAAGGATCACCAAAATCCCCTAGGAAAGCTTTCCAGGATCATGTCCTCTTAAGAACAAATTTTTTTAAAGGTCACTATGCCTGTAAATCAATAGCTAGACATGTATCTGCATCTTTAAACATCTACACAATCAGGGAAAAAAACCCAAACAAACAAACCAAGCAAAACAAAATGAAAAACCAAAACCCAGCCAAACTAAAAACAAAACAAAACAGAAAGCAAACAAAAAAACCCCACACAAACAAACAAAAACAAAACAAAAGCAAAACCAAAACCAACAAAACCAAACCAAAACAGCACAGATTTTAGCTATGCCTGAAGAAAGCAAGAAATTATTTTAAATCCTTCACTCAGCAGCCATCACTTTGAGGCTATGGAGAGGTACACCCTGCTTAAACTCAGCTGTTGAGTAGCTGTTGCCATGAAAGAAAAAGTGTCCTGGAATATGCTCCTGCTGCCTCTTCAGGGCTATCTTTGTCCTTCTGGGCTCTCCAGACTAGGCTGGGAGCAGACAGTACTGGATGAACAGTTACCTGCTCCTACTGGCCAGCTTTCCTGCAGACACACACCTGTGTGTGGCTGTCTAAACACACATAAACAATAAAAAATCTGCATACTTCACAGTTCATCCAACAGGTTGTGTTGGAGGAAGCACATGTTTAATGTCACCAGGGCAAGTGGTTATTCCTGAGATGCCTGTCCTAAGTGACAGTATTTTCCTGAATTAATACAGACGTGAGCTTTTCTCCCCAGTGTGGTCTGACCTTTACGCAGCTCCTTACAATGTCTAAGTATTAAATATCCACCTAAATGCCACAATGAAATTGATACATGACAATCTGAGATTTCATCTTCCTCTGCATGGTTAGTTAAACAGTAAAAATCAGCAGTACTTCACAGAGCTCCTCACTGATCTGTGTCCTCCATGAGAGCAGAGTATCTATCACTGCCATGGTTTACTCATAACTTCCTGACACACCTGCTGAGAAGACTGGCCTGGCTGAACAGAGAGCTTTGGCTGGAACTCAGTAAAGAAAAAGGAGAGTTTATGACCTCTGGAAGGAGCAGTAGGCAACTCAGGAGCCCAGCAGGGATGTTTTGAGGTTATGCAGAGAGAAGAGTGGAAGAAACTGGAACTTAATCTGGCTACTGCCATAAAATACATTTTAAAATGTTTCTATAAATACATTACCAATAAAAGGCTGGCTAAGAAGAATCTGCATCATTTATTGGATGGGTGTGGGTGGAAATGTACTGACCAAGAAGGTTGAGGTATTTAATGCCTTCTTTGCTTCACTCTCTAATAGTAAGAACAGTTGTTCTGGAGGTACTCAGACCCCTGAACTGGACAAGAGGAAGAAGAATGTAGCCCCCATAATCCAAGGGGAAATGGTTAGTCACCTGCTGTACCATTTAGACACAAGTCTGTGGTGCTGAATGGCATCCACCCAACTGTACTCAGGGAGCTGGTGGAAGAGCTCACGGAGCCACCTTCTATCATTTACCCACAGTCCTGCCTTGCCACGGAGGCTTCAGGTCACTGGAGGTCAGCCAGTCTGATGCCCTTTTACAAGAAGGGCTGGAAGGAGGGTCTGGGAAACTACAGACTGGTCAGTCTGACCTCAGTGCTGGGGAAGATCATCTTGAGTGCATTGTACGGCATGGCCAGCACAACCAGGGGATTGGGCCCAGCCATCATGGCTTTGTGAAAGGATGGTCCTGCTTGACCAACCTGATCTCCATCCGTCCTAAAGCAACCTCCTTAATGAATGAAGGAAAGGAATGAAAGGCTGTGGATGTTGTGTACTTGGACTTTAGTAAAGCTTCTGATATTTTCCACAGCATTCTCCTTGAGAAACTGGCTGCTTATGGCACAGGTACACTATTCAGTGGGTAAAAACCTGCCTGGATGGCTGGGCCCAGAGAATGATGGGGAGTGGGTATGGTCTCTTCTCCCAGAGAACAAGGGAATTGACAAGAGGAAATAGCCTCAAGTTGCACCAGGTGAGTTTTAGACTGGACATCAGGAAAGATTTCTTCACTGAAAGGGTTGTCAAGCATTGGAACAGGCTGCCCAGGGAAGTGGTAGAGTCACCATCCCTGGAGGTATTTAAATGGTGTGTAGATGTGGCACTTAGACACACAACTTAGTGATGGGCTTGGCAGTGCTGGGTTAATAGCTGGACTCAATGATCCTGTCTCTTCAACATAAAACTTTCTGATTCTATGATTCTCTGTCACCATGAGGTTTTCCTGCTTAGGAATATGCCACTGCAATCAGTATCCTGCTGTATTCTTGGTATAGCAGCAGCATATGTAAGCATGGAGTTGGTACTGTTAACCTTTAATTAAGATTAAATAATGAAAAAGGAACTTTACATAATTGAGGGCTTTCACCCTGTTTCATGAATACGGAAATAAAACAAAGAAAGCCATTTTGCTTGATGTGATGTCAGCTTTAATGTAACCTTTCTGATTAACAAAATTAGACAGCAATTAAATAGTGATCAAATCAGTCTTTATTGATTCATTATTTATAAGAAACCTCCTGGAAATGTAAGTGTTGGATCTTTTAACTTACAGTACCACAAGACAAAGCTAACAGCAAAAAGTGACAGGCTTATTGCATGATTATTGATGTACGCAGCAGAGCAAGATAACATTCTGACACAAGCCCTTAAAAAAGGGTACTGTAATTTTGTTCAACCAAAATTCATATTTAACAAAAAATATGTTTTTCTGCAAAAATCTTACGCTGCCACATGCAACCCCTTGTTACTTCAGTACATCCTGTTTGGGCACTTTTAAGTTTTTCCAACGCCTCAAAATAACTTTGTATTTTTCACTTTCAGTTTTATCAGATAATTTTTTTAAGACTACCCGCATAACTACAGCAGTTCCTGTTTCTTTATCTTCACCTATTATGAGATCCAGTGTGTCACCAAGTTTCACCTGGAAACAAAAAGAGAAGATGAGTGATTATAAACATTCCCTGGGGGAAACAAATCCCTGCCATCTTCCTTTCTTTCCACTTAATATTCTTATCTCACAGGAGAGGAGGAAGGCAGCCAATACCAGGACTATTATAGATCCTCCAGTGATGAACTTCTAGGAAAGCTGTGGCAATACGCAATTACATGTCTCATGACCTTCCCTGCCAAGAGCTTCACGCTCCATGTTATACAACCAACACCTAACTCTGTGAAAAAGGTTTCATGCATGTCTTTTCTTCCTGTCAACACAGACACAAAACAGCCAAGTGCAAAGTTCTTCCTCCTGCCTTTAAAACAGTTTAAAGTGTTTCAAAGAACAGAGTGCTCAGAAACTGCCTGTGCTCCTCTCAAAGGTCACAGAAGCAGTACTCCTCTCATAAACCAGCCTTAACTCTATGGGATCAGGAATCAAATCTTCTCACCACATTGCCCTTTGATGACAGTAGCCAGCACCGAGGATCACCTCACATAAAGAAAGGGTTGGTAGAAGGACATGCCTGGCGACCCTTCTGGCTCTCTCCTAACTGTGGTCCTGTGTGCTCTATTACAGGTGCAACAACCTTCCCTCAGCCACCCCAGTTTCAATCCCTTTCTATCACCAAACTTCCTCTTTTTCTTTAATCATGTGCCTGCTCCACCAATATCTCAGATTCAATCATTCCTACTCCATCAACCTTGCACAGTGATATCATCACTTCCTTCAGCAACTTAAAATGTTCTGTCCTTGCTGCCTTCTCCTGACTTTCAGACTTAGATTTGACTGTCCAACCACACAAGTTTCCTGTCTGCCTTAGGGAATAAAGTTTTACCCAGAGAACCATGGTCACACCATCCCCCCCAGGTGGAAGTAATGTTAGCAATGCTGTGCATTCATCTTTGCAGAGTGATCTAGAGGGAAAAGACCATGCCTTAGCTATTTTCTTGTACTATAATAAAAAAAAAAAATTTAAAAAGTCTTACAGTTCTACTTTTCTTCCATAGTTTTTCTCCATTCAGCCTGAGTTCATTATTGTAGAATGCATCTTCTACTTTACTGAAGAAAAACAAGGTTTTATTGCAGTTACAGTGTGCAGCAAACCAAATGCAATTGTTTCTTTGCAGAAACACAACACCACCATTCATGGGCAAGGCACATTTCTACACCTCTAATTTGTGTGTAAAGGACACCTTCACTTAAGGTCAGGACAGACTTGAACTGGAAGTAACGAAAAGGGCTTTCACAGATATTAAATGAAATAATAGCATATAGTTGCTCTGTGCCAGAAAAGCTGTTTCTCGAGATCTGTCTCCTGAATATCCAATAAATAATATCCCCTTTCCTGCACCAGCCAGTTTAATAATTTGTTAGTGATCAAGTTATACTAATATTCTGTTCCAACAACATAGTGACATCAGACTTCTGCAGGTTGCATTAGATCAAACACTGATATATTTATACACTGCACATTTACCTGGTGGACCTGTGAAGCTTATACTTACCAGCCCCTGTTTCTCCATTCATTAAATAGTGCATTATTTTACTCCCTCAGTCTCAAATTAGACCTTTTCATATTACACAGTACAGTATTTTGCATTTCCTTAATTTTAAATAAATATGAAGTGATACAAAATGCCTCCTCAGCAATCTCAGAAATACTGCAGACAGTGAAAAGCAAAATCAGGCTGTTTCAAGGGGGGTAGGGTGAAATAAACAGGAACATTCATACATTCAAAACATAGATTTAGAGAGTCAAAAAAGCTACACCAAAAAAAAAAAAAAACACCCACAAATACGGAGTTGTTCCAACAATAAAAACTTATCAAAAGTCAAATTTTAGATGCATGACATCTTTCTCAGTAGCAAGTTGTTTCTTGTGTACTTACTTTCTTGCCATGTCTAGACCAGCTTTCAAGATCACATCATATCGAAGAGACTGCACTACTTTTTCAAGATCCTTGTAATCTTTTACTACATTGGGGTCATTTTCAAATTCATCTTCCAAATTACTTTCATCTTCATCCTCTTCTTCCTCCTCTTCTTGTACGCTTTGTCTGCTCCGTTTAGAGCTTTTGCTGCTTTTGTTCCGCAGAGAAATTACTGAGATATACTCTGGAGAGAGTCTTAGTGCACTGAGTCTGACTGGGGAAAAACTGAAACATCTCCTGTAGTTTACTGTGCTTGCTTGACAGCTACAGAATAAGCTTCTCCTCCAAGTGGGATACAGTTTATTTGAGGGAAGTTTCTCCCACAGTCCGAACCAGACATTTAGTTTTCTGAAAGTGCTGATGGGGAGTCTGAAGCCAGTCATAGCATAACCTAAAATAAACCAAACATTCATATGTAAAAATGAGCAACTGCTTTGACGGATTGGAAGGATTTCCCCACATATGGCATAACAGTTCCCACAAAAAGATGAGTATCCAGTTCCCCATAAAGTGATGCATCACCTGAAAGCACAAGGCTTTAGGTGGCTTTATGATCCGACTTTCTCATACACTGGCCAACACGACAAAGAGCTAAGACACCAGATGAGAAACAAATGCAGAAAAGCCCAGCTGAATACTCCTTTTATAATTCCTTTTCTGGTGTTCAGCATTAACTGTGCAAACACATTTGTGGCACTTTCCTCCCTACATCCGAAATACAATTCACAAAATACACAGAAACGCTGCAATCTGTGTCATAAAAAGCACAGGGAGATCTCTATTTAACATGAGTCATTGTCAATACAAGCAAGTTGCTGAACACTGCAAGCAAGCAAATCCAGAGAAGCCGAAAGCTGCTTAACCTCTGTTTCTGCTTGGACCACAACACTCCCGCGTGGCAAAACGCTGCACAGCGTCCCCCCCTGTTTCTCCAGACGGGAACTGGCGCCGTGCTAGTGCTCGGCAGAAACAGCAGGGCTGTGTACCGCAGCAGGCGTGACACCAGGAGTGACGCCAGGAGTGACACCAGGAGTGACGCCAGGAGTGACGCCAGGAGTGACACCAGGAGTGACACCGGCAACAGCAGGCTCACATGAAAGCTCCGCGGTGCTGCTGCTCCTCTCTCTAACCTGGGACAAGTAGGTGGAAACAGCCCCAAAACACCCCAGATGTCCTTCAACGCTCCCAGAAACTGATTTACAGCCCCTACTAGCTGGGTGCTGCGCTGGCTTTTACTGTGATCTTATATCCAGGGAAACACGTGCTTCCTTACGAGATTACTCTGGTTTCCCCGCACTCAAGTGACCCCTGCCGAAATACTAAATGAGGCGGTATTTGTGGCTGAGAAAAAAAAAAAAAACCCTGATCAGTGAGAGCAATTACTGGCCAAATAAATATAACCACACCTCCCCCGGCTTTTTTCTTGTATCTAAATATGTGGACTTAAAATATATGACAGTTTTAACTGTAGGACGGTACAGCGATTGCAGAAGACACAGGCCTCTCCTCACTTCGGGGGCAAATTCCAACAGTTATTTGAACGTGCAAACAAATATTATTGCTTCTTCTCAGCGCTCGACCTTCGTTTGTTCGGCGCAGGCCAGCGGCTGCAAGCAGGCCAGCAGGGCCGTGAGCCCGCCCGCCGCAGCAGCCGCGCCCTCTCCGCCGCGCTGGAACCCTCGGGCGGCCACAGCCTCGCCCGGCACCCCCTGACCCGCCGGCGGGCTCTCGGTGGTGGCGGGACCGAGCGGCCCCGCCTTCCCTGGCGGCTGCCCCGGGAGGCCGCAGGGGCCCGACC